TGGGGGAGGGGGGGTGACAAAGAAAGGGGAGGTGGAGGGGGAGGTGCCGTGTGTGCGCGAGGGTAGCGAGACTGTTGTTTTGGCCTTCATTTGGAAGGAACGTAGCGGCCCATGGTGCGCGCGCTTTGTTGCAAGATCCTTATAAATAAACGAAATGTAACGGCCATGTCAGTACGCGATCTATGAATACAAGTCTATGGACGCAATTGCGTGGGATCCCTGCCACAATGGGCGCAGTATCTATTAGGAGACGTCTCCGACGTAGATAGACCAATCAAACTGCTTGTGCCTCCAGACCAAGTAAAACAATCTGGGGGTTACATGGGGGCATGCTCCTCTGTTTTAACCCATAATTTGATATTTTGCAATTAGTTTTGAAATTTTCTTGAAAATAATTGATTTGCAACAGTTTTAGTTGCTATATGTGTGATTTGCAGCAAACAATACGCAGTTTGACCCCCCCCCCCCCCCCTGTCAAAGCCGTGCATCTGGGAGCGGGAGTGCGTCTCCGAATAGTACCTGCGTCTCCGAATATCTTCTGCCCCACCAGAGATTCCCAGTACTCTTATCGCAATACGAAATCCGTGAATTTCTGGCGGTCTGAATTTTGTTTGTAATTGAGTAGAATAATATTCTAGACCGTGCCCTGTCGTGGCCCCCACACTTTGCTCTCTGTAAAATCTTCGATGCGATGCCTGGACCCGATGGGGGCTCAAATAAGGGCAAAATACCAATTTCGCTGTAGTTGAGAGCGAATGAGACCCTTCCCATCTTGCCCTTTGTTTGGCTCCCCACTGAGTGAAATGGTTTGCACCGTAGTGGAGCTCAATGACGCCAGAGTGCGCGAACTTGGACTTCAACTACAGGTCTCTGCCTCCAAAGTTATAGTCTTTTTTTTTTTTTAGTAAGTGTTTTACGGCATAAGGTCATATGAGCGCGCGGGACACATTAAACATTAATTTCAGTTCGTAGAAAATTTTGAATTTTGCCCCGGTGGCGGCCGAAGCCTACTCTTATCGATTTTAGTCCACAAAGGGATCTTTAACGAGGGCAACTTGCGCACGGGACCTCCTAGATAAGTTACAGTCTAAAGGGACATAGTTTGATCAAAGAAAAAAGGTTAAGTATTTCTTCCTTTGGTCCAGGTATGTCCCTTTAGATTGTAAAGTTGAGGGCAGGGACATGTACTTAATGTCCAAGAGTCAAACTTTCAAATATTTGCACTTATAGTGTCGCCTCTGTAGTCCGGTGTCTGTCTTTTATTAGCCTCGCCAGGTTTAGTGTTTTTTCTACGTCAAAGATGTATGTAGCCTGTTTCATGTTACGACACTCAATAGTGTTTACGAGTTGCATGTTGTCACATCTACCAACACCCTACTACAAAAACTGACACATCTGCCAAAGACATACTAATATACATGTATACACAAACTAACACATTTTTCAACAACACCCTACCCCCAAATACTGACACATCTGGCAACAACGAGGAAATGCTCACGCAGGCTGACACATTAAGTGTTAACGACCCATTAATAGACAAACAAAATGAAATATTAGTCAAAGACACTCTAACATACTAACAAACTGACAAATCTGTCTACAACACACTAATATACACACATACACGCAAACTGATACATCTGCCAAAAATACAGACACACACACACACACAA